TTACTGACACCTAAGATGTTATGCAGGCATCGATTTCTTTTATAGTAACATTTGTGAACTGGGCAGTAGCAGACTTTTTCTTTTATGATTTTAGTAATATCATCTGCTTTTTAGTGTAAACTTGCTCAGATTTCTTCTGGGTTAGGTGATTTAAAATCTGCAGCGACTCTTCCCTCCCATCGTCTAAAACAGAGCGCTGCATAATTAGGAGGTATGAAGGCATGAGCATGGGCGTCGGGAAAACCTCCCTGAGCATCCCAGCTCCTCTGCGTACAAGTTCTGTGACCTTGAGAATGTTACCCCGCCGCCTGCAAGCCTCAGTTTCTTCTTCTTGTGACACCAAGAGGTGAAGATGATTAGTTTTGTAGTGTTGTTGTGAGGTGTCAGCTACTTTTATAACATAAGGTTGCAGATAACCCGATAGTTCCTTTCCTCCCATGTCCTAAAATACAGATTCATTTCTCTCATTTTTTCTTCCTCTTCTCCTTATTTGCTTCCATCACATCAAGTAAACCAGAAAACCACAGCAGTAAATTATTTGGGGTTTTTATGGCCTTTTTACTTTTGCGGAGGGGTAATTCCAAAGTTCCTGTTTTGGAATCTTGACACTGCCTTTTGTACACAAAGTGTTTTCTTCTTCTCTGCCCCACTCCCCCTCTTTTCTTTGGTCTCTGCAGAGAAGAGAGCTCTCTGTGTTGAGCACTTTAAAGTCTGATTACTGCCTTGTCATCTTGCTTACGATCTCCAGCACCAGTTACTGTCTCTCTCTGGCTGCTGCTTGAACTGAATACTTTGGGGGCAGACTGTGGTTCCTCTGCACCGCCAAATTATCTAAAGTGACAGTAGCTTTTGGTTCAAAAAGCTAAACTGAATTTTGTGGTAACACAGAGTTCAGTTTAAGCAGCTAGGGGAAGCCAGTGGTGGTTCCACAATGCTTTGGTAAGATGAAGTGGATCAGTGTAAGAATAAAATCTTTTATCAATTTAATAAAGCAAATCAGTATATTTAAAATATGCAGACTAACTTCAGAATCTAGTTCTTGGCAGTGCAGTGCTTTCTGTTTGGTCCGTGTAGATCTCCTGTCATGATGGTTCCCTCTGGTCCTTTAATTCAGATGTGTTCTCTGCCCTCCATTCGTTGTCTCGCTCAGTAAATCTGTCTGTCTGAATGTGGCAAGCCCCCAGCTGCAGAAGTACCTCTTGAAGAACAGAGGATGGAGGGTGACTTTGTGGATGGTGGATGAAGTGAATGCACTCTTTCTAAGTAGCTGTAGCTCATTTGTCTTGTGATAGCTCCTTGGGCTTCTAGCAGGCACGTGTCCCATTGTTGTTATGTAAAACCCAGTATGTGTGTTTGACAAGTTAGCAGCGGTGCAGCTCTGCTGGTTCCCCAGCCTCGCTGCCGTCTCAGCGATTGTTTGGTTTGGCAGATGGCCAGCTCTCTGCTATAAGATGCATTTCCTTGACAGGACAAAGTGTGGAGCCGCATTAGCTGCAAAGTTTACGAAGGTTAGCTAAACACACACAATAAATATTAATAAACAAAAAAAAAAAAGCCCACCCACCTTTGACTTTGAATCCTGTTTCTTCATTCCATGTTTTGGAATCCGGGTAGTATTTGATTAATAACCAGTCTTAGGGTAATTGAGCCTTAAGTATCTTTTGTCTAACTCAGACTGCTCCCAGCGCCCTCATGGGATGCCTTGGTGACTCACCACCTCAGTGGATGGCGCTCTGGAATGACTAGTTAGTTCAAGGGGGCTCACTTGCCTTCTCCTTCCTTCTGTGTAAAAAGGAGGGTAAACGTGCTTCTCCATGAGAGCTTGTGCTGCCCAGTCACGTGTGTGTGTGTGTGTGTGTGTGTGTGTGTGTGTGTGAGGGCGTAGGAGGGAAAGACTGTGAGCGGGAATAGAGATGCAGTGCCCGGAGCTTGGACTCCCTGGAAAGCAGTCAGACGTTGGTCTGCTGGCCCGGCCATTGCCTCTCTCTGACATTTACACCCTCGGCGTAGACGGAGAGAGTAACGGTAACCTGCTGCCCCTGGAAACTGCCTGTTTGGCTGGTGTCTTGGAATTTATCAGGCCTACGTTGTGGATCTTTTCCAATTCTGTACCCTGCTCGCTTGACAACATATTTGAGAACCTAATCTTAGACTGCTTAGCCAGACCTCTAGAGAACCAAGGAAGGGAAATAACTTTAGTACTATGTCCTTAAAATTGTCCTGGGGCCAATTCTGGGCAGCTGAGATTTCTGAAGACCCTTGAGAGCCCCTCTCACTGTCTTCCCTTGCCCCTCTGGCTCTTGTTCATCCCTCTTTTCTGGTCCACATTGGGAGGGCACTAACCCTCTGTGTTTGTATGATACTTGAGTGTAATAAAAATCTGGAGGAATCAAATTATTTCTCATAGGCAGTAATGATTTTAACTTGAAAATTGTCCATCTCCAGCCCCACCTAGCAAAGCAGTCTATTTAGTTTGGGTGAGTTGTAACTTTAATTCATTCCTGCAGCAAATATTTATTAAGTATCAGACACTAATCTAGGCACTTGAGGCCCTTGGCCACAGGAAACAGACCAGGAGCAGCCTGTGTAGAGCGTTTATTCTAGTGGGGGCGGCAGACAGTAAGCATGTGTGCGTGCCTACTTAGGCTCTTCCATGTGTCCGACCCTGTGCGACCCCACGGCCCGTAGCCCGCCAGGCTCCTCATATCTGTGGGGTTCTCCAGGCAAGAATGCCGGAGTGGGCTGCTGTGCCCTCCTTCAGGGGATCTTCCCGACCAAGGGATCAAACCCACATCTCCTGGGTCTCCTGCATTGACAGGTAGGTTCTTTACCACTAGTGCCACCTGGGAAGCCCAGACAGTAAGCATAATTAGCAGTAAGTTATATATTATGTTAAAATCATGATTAACAGTAAGTTGTATATCATCTTAAAAGGTGACACATGCTATGAAAACAAGGGAAAGAAGGGGAGTTGTGTGGCGCAGTTTCAAATAGGCTGGTCCGAGTAGTCATGACAGTCAAGCCAAGACTTGAAGGAGATGAGTATTGGCTTGGATGAGCTTATTCTAGCTTTGATGGGAAGTTGTTTGTGACTCTTTTCAAGTTTCCACATACCTGACCTTGATCATCTAGAGATTTCCAGTGGTCTAGGCATGGTTCTCACATTAGTCCCAGTGACGGAACACCTTGTAGTCAGGCTGTGCTTTGCAGATCATGAACTATTGATAAAATTAATTCCATCTTACCAACAAGGCAGTTTTATTGGGAGAAAAGTGTGACTTTTTCTACACACGCACTGTAAAGTAAGTTTCACCAGCACGTGCACAAAGGCGACAGCAACCTCACCCCCTAGTTGTTAAATTTTGGTTTACTGCTTTCACATTTTACTGAAAAATATGATTTACTATTTTTAAGTTTTTCTATTAATATTCACTCACCGTTGTATATGTTTTATCATCTTTTAGCACTTGCTAGTAGACATTGAGTAGCAGATACTATAGGTTTAAAAAAAAGAGTGAGGGTTTAAAAATCTAAAAAATAATTAAATAAATGCAAGTGACAGGAATGAGTTCAATGAATGTAAAAGTATTAAACTCATCAGAACCATAAAAACAAACAAAAAAAATAGTGGGGCAAAAACTTAAAACTGTGCAAACCTGCCTGTTGAGCTTAATTTTCTCCCTGATGACAGGATAAACACAGCCACTCTGGTTTGATTTTCTCAATAGAACATCTCAACCCTGTTCAGCAGTGCTAGAACCACTCTTCTAGAATATTGTCAGATTTGAATTTGACATTTCTTACATTTCTTCCTTAGTTTCTCAGGAATCTCAGAGTGGGCTTTGTAGCCATTTAACTATGTGCATTTTTTTACCAGTCAAGTGGAAGCCAGAATTTCTATCAAAAGGAATTGCAGAAATTACCAGATATTCTATATTAACGAAAGAACTAGATGGTTGGGGAGAAGAAGACAAAAAGGAAAAAAAAAATTCAGCCCAATTCAGATTTAGAAGACAGAAATTTCCATGATTCACATTTTAATATTAGAATGTAAGATGGTAATATCTAATTGTACCCTTTCCCATTAGTCCTTGTACATTGCTTGGCACATGGAGATTCCTAATAATCACTGGATTAATGTTTCCACTCATTTCTTGTTCTATCAGAGTGAGATCTGCAGAACCCAACATGTGGTATTTCTGCCTACCAACCTTAGCCTCCTTTCCCCCCCTTAATTCTATCCCTGCCATCTCTTCCACCTCTGCCCTCTTATTTCAGCAAAAATTAAAAACAGGTTGTAGTTCTTACTGGGAACTTGCAGTTCTTTCTGACCCCAGAACAGCACTTATTTTCCTCACCAGTAATGATTCACAGGATCATAGCTTCTTCCAGTGAACCTTCTCCTAACCTGCTTTTTGTTCAGGTTAACATCACATCTTTATATTCCGTATCTCTGTTTTACTTCTGCTATTGTCCTGCTGGTTAATCTCATAGATAGGGAGATATTATTCATAGTTCACAAATGTGTGTTGTTCCTGAGAAAGCTTTATGAGATTTGGATCTTTGTAAACTAAAAATAGTAGCCACCTGGCCTCAATATGCTGTCCAGAGGGGCATACTGTGTGCATAAAAACATGAATCGCTGAGGTCTAAATCCGCTTCATTGGTACAATGAACCAAGTTATGTGGGTTCAGCATTCCAAGATGCCAGCCTCACATGTCAGCAGAGCTGGGAAGGCCCAGCTTTGCGGCTTTGACACTGTCAGAAAAGGAGCGGAGAGAAGGCAGGAAGGGGCATCTTTTATATTTTTATAGAGTGTCACAGAGATAATAAGTGATAGAACAGGACTCAGTGGTTTGGAGGAAAGTGCCCCAGAAGCTGCAAGTCATCGTCAGGGTGGCATTCAGTTTAGTAAACTAGCCATCCAAGTACCAGCAGAGCTGTCTTTCCTTTCTCTTTGCGCCCCATTTAGATGATCCCCATGCCTTTTCCTTTTCAGAGTGTTGTCCGCTGCCTGTGGCACCCAAAGCTGAACCAGATCATGGTGGGGACTGGAAACGGGTTGGCTAAAGTCTACTATGACCCCAACAAGAGTCAGAGGTATTTCATAAGTGTTGCCTGTTTGAGATGGATGACAGCAACTGGGGGGAGGGCTTTTTTTTCACCCCTGCTTTTATTTATTTCCCTCTTTGATGGGGATCCACCCTTTTAGAAAATGCAGCTGGCCCAGAGTAAAGCCTCAAACTCCTCATATTGTGCTTTAAAGAGGATTTAGATAGCTCCTTGATCCATACAGAATTCAAAGTGAAAGTTTCCTGGGGATTTGCAGTTCTTTAGCTGAAATGTTGAGTGCAAGGGGGGGAAAAGGCCTGCCCACTCTGCATACCACCCTGGACAGTGGCATTAACAGTGATGCATGTAAGGGATTAAACAGAGCAGGGAACGAACCACTCACAGGAAATGGAACCGGCTTGTCCGTTTTGTTCCCTTTCTGTTTGGGCTTTTCTCAGGTACCGTTTGGGTGTTTGGTGGTGGTGTTCTCTGCCAGCAAAGGAGGACAGCACAGACAGTTTCCCCTTCCACCCCACATCTGCCCAGTTGCCAAATTTAAGCATACCAGTGTGTTTCAGGCATCTAAAAACCTCACTGGAGGCTCAGTCAGTCCCTCAGTTATTTCTCTTTTCCTTGGGCACAAAGGTAAACCCGTGTCACCATCCAAAAGGGATGGCCTCTTTCTCTCTATTAAGATGCAGTAAGTGATTCGCTGTTTCTTTAGAGTAAGCCTTGGCTATCTAGTACAAAATTCACATGCTAAATTTACTGGGGTCCCCCATAAACCTGTTGTGAGATCCCACATTCTTCTGGGGGGAAAGGAAGCCTGTCCTCTATTAGTGAATATTTACTGACTATAGTCTGGCTCTAAATAGAAGCAGACAGTCCTGTTCCCTTCAGAATTTTCTGGAATTGGAGCCTTTGCCCCATAAAATAAAATTACATATTGTAGTCTTTAAGAACAAATAGGATTTTGTTTGTTATTTAATAAATTAAAAATACTAATGTAAGTAGGATGAAAGGAAGGGGTCCATTTTACTTGAGAAAATGATGAACCCCATTTGATAGCACCCTTTAGAAGGCACTATCTTTGGACTCTTTTAAAAAATTTACTTATTTGTATTTGTCTCTCCTGAAAGGGATACTCATTATTGCTAAGGAGAGTGAAGCATTGTAAGCACACTTTTGGCTAATCCCACACATTCTTGGGCTGTAGCCCCTTGGCAATCCTGCCAAGCTGACTAGGATCCAGACACTTTACTCTTGTATTTGAGATGTGGACAAATGCCACTTGGGCTGTAGACCACCCAGGTTGCTTTCATCTGAGCCATAAACTAAAATTTGAACCCTGTGACCTTTAGGGTGAAAAGGTTGATTAATGTTATTAATATCTCTTTAAGATCTTAATTTTAGGTTATTTCTATAGATTTTTTTAACTAGCCTTTTGTTTTCCAGTTACCTTTCTAACCCTCTCACACAGTAGTAACCACTGATGCACAGACTTGCCGTCCCATATGTTTAATCTCTTATCACCAAGGGCTCCATCTGTTGCCAGTCCTTGGAAAGTCAAGGACTTGGTGAGATGATGTGTACAGAGTGTGTTCCTGAAAAGTGTCTAATGCTTTTGACATCGACTTTCTGTTTCTAAGACCAAATAAGGGAAATAATTTGCTTTAACTCCTCTCAGGGGAGCGAAATTATGTGTAGTTAAAACCCAGCGGAAGGCGAAGCAAGCAGAAACTCTAACCCAGGACTACATCATCACCCGTAAGTTGTTAGCATGGTCTCTCTGTCATGCATCTGTCTTCTAGTCTTGTGTGATGTTGCTCTCATGGCTTTAGAGACAGAAGAAGCCCTCCAAGTTCAGGCATATATTAAAAAATACCCTATTCATGTGTTTAGGATGGGAGTCATGTAATAGCTAACTCCTCCAGCTTCTGTGATTCATCACAGAGACAGGGTGACTTCATGTAACTTTCAACCCCAAAAGGAAGAGCCTAAATTCTGTGACCCTGTGACAGATTGATCCAGAGACCTTCAGATATAAAATGAACTACCCGAGGTACAATCAGAAATCTTATCAGAACAGAGCAGCGTCTCTCAGGTTTGTCACACAACTTTGTTGATCTGATAGATTTTTGTTTGCCAGAGTCACAGTCTCAGACCTGCCACGGGTAGCGGCTAGAAAGATCTCAGATGCAGTAGAGATTGCCATTAGCAGGTGTCCCCATGGACTTTCTCAGCGGCTCAGTCTCAAGCCCAGGGGGCGCTGCACTGCTGGGTTTTCTCCCTGCTGGTGGGTCTTGTATAAAACCAAGCCCCTTGAAGCTGGTGATGAGTAAAAAGATCCCATGGCATTTTTTTTGTAAGAGTAGAAGTGTTAAAGTCAGTGTCAGAAGCAGTCTAGCTCATGTAATTACATGCGGCCTACTTAAATTCCTGCAGTCGTTTGAAGTGAAAAGCTATTTTTCCCTCTCCTAAAAATACTATTGTGTCATGTTGCCGAACCGAGTGATGGGTGGCTGTGTTTCTCAGCTCCCCTAACTCAAGGCAGGCATATTTATTGGTGAGTGATATGGTCCTGGCCCAGGCTGGCAGTGTGCATTGAGGATGGCCGGTATTAGAAGTGTTTTTCAGGTGTTATAGCCATTTCTGTCATTCACATCATAAATTTCCTTTAAACCATTATTATGCCTTTAATTCTCCCCCAGTTTTCTCTTTTAAAGGAGTTTTAATTTGCATGTAAACATTCAAAGACATTATTCTGGTACTTTTTGTGGTCATAAATAGATATTTAATTCTTTCCCCAGCAGTTTTCCCCCTCTCCACCAGAATATGACACTGTTTCCCTTATAAATTTGTATTTTCTTTTATATTCTGAAATTTAATTCCGACATTGAGTGAACAACCAAGAGCAATTGGACGGATGTTTACTCTCTGATTTTTATTCTTTTGTCTACCACATTGAAGAAGGAATAAGTCCCTGTCAAGTCACCACGTCAGGAGATTCAGCCACCTCTGTGCATTCAAGACAGCCTCTGTCCCAGTTTCCGTGGGATAAGAAGTGTCCCTCCCTTCTGGTTGCTCAGTGTTGTCAGCCGTTCCTGAGAGGCGGTCACATTTCAGAAATGTGTGAAGTGACTCCAGTGTTTATGAGGCCTCTGAGGAGGCAAGCTGTTGACATTATTCACATTTGGGTCCTGTAAGAAAAAAAGTAAGAGGCAGCCCCATTAAGTGTTTCTTGTCAAAACCACAGAAGTTAAGTTTAACTGCTGCCCACGGTCTAGTAGATGGGGAGCCTCATCAGTGTTTCCATGACGGTATTTGACAGTACTTCCTGAGTGCCATTAGTTGCCAGGAGAGGTGAACAATGTGTCTGGTCTCAAGCGAAATTGGCTAATTGGTTGCAGTAAGACTGTCTTTTATTATTAGATGAAGGCCGTCATTATGACTTCCATTTCATCTACATTTAGTCATGCTCTAGCTATGTTTTTGGATGGAAGGGTTATTATCATAATGAAATTTTTCAACTGTGACTTCTCCTAGCTCATGCCTTGCCTATGTTCCGCGAACCTCGCCAACGGAGTACAAGAAAACAGCTGGAGAAGGACAGACTGGATCCCCTGAAGTCTCACAAACCGGAGCCTCCTGTCGCAGGCCCAGGTGACTGATCTAGCTTGTGACCCGCAGAGGGGGTCATTGAGGGCCAGGGTGGGGTAATCGAGACAGAACTTGGAAGATCTTTTGGGCCTGGATACCCGTCTTCAGAGATTTTTACTAAATAGGATTTTTCAAACACCTTCTTTGAGCCTCAGAACTTTTTGCTTAAAGAACTGATGCAGAAGCCCAGTGCATAAAACTGATACAAATGGAGCTGTTGTGCTGAAGGAGAGAGGAAGCCCAGAACCCTTTCTTCTTGGTCTCCAAGTCCTTTAGGTGACCTCACTGGAGCTCTGGGGTGCCTTGGAACTCAGTGTTTAAATCACTCCTCACCATACCGGCTTAAAATTCAACACTGAATACTTTGGCCGAAATTTAGGCTGGATTAGAGTTCACAAGAGGCAGAAAGAGGCCATCATTTAGTTCTGCATTATTTAAATAGAGCTGCCCATTTTCCTAGAAGATGAATAAAAATCTTTAGAGTTTCTAAGAAAGTAAGACCAGAAGAAAGCAAGGCAGCATTGGCCATCATATAGCCTTACCTTTACTAGAATCCCTTTTTCTGTTATCAGCTGCATAGTTTCCACTTGTTCTAGGTTCATAAGCTTATATCACTTATGACTTGTTTATTCATCTGAACCTGACTTCTGGACCTCTATCTCTTTGGCCTGCCCCTTGAGCATTGAAAGAAAATCTCATATACCAGTCTCAGTTTTTTCCCCATTTTCTCTGCCATCATCCTATAATCAGAATTCCTGTATAATATTCTTGCCTGGATTATTAAAAAGCCCTTGTAACTAGGCACTCTCTCAACTCACTCTCTCCTCACTACTGCCTTCATTCATCTTACAGCTTTTATTCCCGATTTCTGTAGTTTTCATCTTGCTGCTGCCCCCACATCTTCAGAAGCGGTGCACTGTCCAGTCACATGCCCAGAGGTTCAGAGTTCTCTACAGTCTGACTCTCAGCCATGGTTGAGCTTTACACCTCACCTCTCTCCTCCTCTAATCTTCTGATAACGACTGTTGGTTCATTCTGGCCCCCAAATGCCTGTTGAACTTCCCTCTTTCTATACTTTTGTATTTTAACTATTCCATTCATTGAAAATAACCTTCTCTGTCTTCTGACTTCTCCCACATTGGATGTATTTCTTCCTATAGATCCCCTTCCCACATCAGCCTGAAGAGCTGTCTTCTTCTAAGTGCTACTGATACAATAGTTACTGGCCATACAAATTCTCTGGCAATTATTTCCTGCCTGATAAAATTAATCTTTTAGTGCTACTTGACTTTTCATGTGGTGTTTTGTCTTTTTTTTCTCTTTTTAACCTCCTTGAAAAGTCATATGTCTTTTGAGTATTAGGAACCAGGCTAGCAGTTGAGGGTCCAGTGGGGAACAAATTCCTGCCCAGGTGAAGCTTCCTGTCAAGAGCCATTATGTGTAGTAAAATAATGTCAACCAGTCTATTCATCTTATTTGCTTTTCTTTCATACAAGGTCCTTGGAAGATGGCAAGCCCTAAGATATTCTTGTTTAAAACTAAAATAGCATCTAATGATTATTGGTTATTTTTATTAATTGAATTTCATGTATTCATGCCAGGATAATTTTTTAAGGCATATACATGGCAAACTATTTGTATTTCTTCCTACATTGCTGTCATTGTGTAAATTAGGCAACTAAAGCATAATAAAAACATGTCTGTATTTTAAAATATTATGGGGAAGTTGAGGTTTGGTGATGTTCCACTTTGGTTGTGATTTCCTTAAATGAAAGCAGAAAGGATGATACTCAAGTACTCTTAAGTGTGCTTCAGACCAAAGTCTATGGAAGCCCCAGAATGCTCAAAACCTTGATTCTTCACAGAATGACAAAAATCAGGTCAATCTGATTCCCGGACCCTACCCTGTCATTCATTTAACCTGTAGCCTGGGCAGCCAGCAGTGAAGGATTTTCAACCTTGTCAGATAAGCCCAGAGTATATGCTCACTCTGTTCCTGATTTGCTTTTTTTCCCTTTGGAACAGGTCGTGGTGGCCGGGTTGGAACTCACGGAGGCACTCTGTCTTCATACATTGTGAAGAACATTGCTCTGGATAAAACCGACGACAGCAATCCCCGGGAAGCCATTTTGCGGCATGCCAAGGCAGCCGAGGACAACCCATACTGGGTTTCTCCAGCATACTCCAAGTAAGGAGCCAGCCTTTTAAAACAGGACATTTCTTGTGTTAACAGATTGGGTAGGACATAGCAATGGCTGCTTTGGGGTTCTGACTTCTCCCTATCTTTTTTATTCTTAAGCATGAGAAATAGGCCATGTATAATGGTCCAGAAACATAGGCATTTGTTTATATCTGAGGACTCTAACATTCTAAATTTTTAAACTAGGCCACTTCCATCAGAGTTACACCAGTATTCTTGCCTGGAAAATTCCATGGACAGAGAAGCCTAGCAGGCTCCAATCCATGAGGTCACAAGAGTCAGACATGACTGAGACTCACACAAACCCATTATGGGGGTTCCCTGGTGGCTCATGTCTCCACCTGCCAATGTAGGAGACGGGGGTTTAATCCCTGGTGGGGGTGATCTCCTGGAGGAGGAAATGGCAACCCACTCCAGTATTCTTGCCTGGGAAATCCCATGGACAGAGGAGCCTGGTGGGCTATAGCCCATGGGGTTGCAAGAGAGTCAGACATGACTTAGCGACTAAAACAACAAAACAACAAGCCAGTTATGTGAAACTCATTCTACCTGTGATTAAAAAAGAAAGGAAGAAAGAGAAAGAAAATCACTGCCTATATGCATTATCTTAGTTGTGAAAGTTGCTCTGTCTTGTCTGACTCTTTGCCACCCTATGTATATACAGTCCATGAAGTTCTCCAGGCCAGAATACTGGAGTGGGTAGCTGTTCCCTTCTCCAAGAAATCTTCCCAACCCAGGGATTGAATCCAGGTCTCCTGCATTGTGGGTGCATTCTTTACCAGCTGAGCCACCAGAGAAACCCAAGAATACTGGAGTGGGTAGCTTATCTCTTCTCCAGGGGATCTTCCTGACCTAGGAATCAAACCAGGGTCTCTTGCATTGCAGGCAGATTCTTTATCAGCTGAGCTATAGTTAGGATTAAAAAGAGGAGAAGGAAATAGCAATCCATTCCAGTATTCTTGCTGGGGAAGTCCCGCAGACAGAGGAGCCTGGCATGCTGCAGTCCCTGGTATCCTAAAGAGTCAGACACAACTTAGTGACTGAACAGCAACAACAAAAAGCAAATGAAGAGGAACAGTTTGTAGGGTCCATTATTGAGGATTAACTTTTATTTGTAGAGCTGGTTTGTAAGTAATACTTAACACAGTCAGAGTAGAGCCTGCCAGCTCAGATTCCCTGTTAGCTTAACATAGGTGAACTTGTAGTGGTTAGACTTACAGAAAAATCATAAAAACAGTACAGAGAGTTGATATATACTTTTCACCCAACTTGCCCTGATGTCAACACTTTACATGGCCATAGTACATATGGTAGATTTAGTCCTAATTTTTAAAGGAATCTCCATAAATAGTCTTTTGAGCTTTGCTTTTTTTTTCACTTAATAGTATGACCTGGAAATCACTATCCATCAGTTCAGAGTTCATTCTCATTCTTTTTCACAGCTGCATAGTGATCCACTATGTGGCTATACAGTGGTTTATTCCACTACTCTCCTGTGTGCGTATTTAGATTGTTCCCAGTATTTTGCAATTACTAACATAGTTAATAAATTTGTGTATGTGTATTTTTGTATTGTTGGAAGTAAATCAGCTTTTTTGTTGATGTTTTTATGTATTTCTAAAGTTTTCTCTTCAATTATGAGAAAGCTGATGTTTATATGCTGGAAAAAAAATCCTTTATAAACCAACTCACGTGTTATACTGATATTTGATCCCCTATCTGCTGATCATTATGAGCTATGGATACTTTGCCTAAAAGTAAAACACAGTGTCTTAGCTTGGGTTCCTTAGAAGCAGACCTTGAGAAAAAGACCCCTATGAAGATGATTGAAGCCAAGAAAGAGTACAATGTTAAACAGAGTTCCAAGAAAGGTCATTTTCCTTAGTATCCCACAGGGTGACCCTGGAGACCCTGGTCAGGGGCGCAGTAACTGGATTGCTTCACTCCAGCATCTGTTATCATTGGTGATGGCTGGAGATGAAACTGGGGGAGACACTTAAGGTACTTTCAACTCTCTGGGGATCCAGTAACCTGGGGACAGTCCTCTGACAAAGAGAGAGATGGACGCTACCGCTGTGAGTGAAAGCACCCTGCAGAAAAATGATAAAGCGATTTGAGGGCCTCTGGTGGGGAGCATCGTATCCTCTACTATATGTCTTGTAGCAGAGCAGACTTTACTCTATGACATCAGTGGTGGATGTTCGCAACATGTATGAATAACCAGACAACACAGATGGAACGTCTCTGGACAGTTAGTTGGATAATATCACAACAGCTAAGAGGGTCATATCAAGGCTGGCCAGCTAAATAGTTTGCATTTAGCCTTCATTTGTATCAAATCTGTGTGCTATAAGCTAATACATGTCAACACATCCTTGGCACTCAGATATGCTTGTGGGCTTATGGATTATGCCTCTGTTGACGCTTCTGTTTCTAATGGAATGGTTAATGTCTATTACATTAGGGATTTTTTATACTTCAAAAATTTGTTTAGAAGCATACCAAAAATTATCTGAAGAAAGAAGAGTAAACAGAGCCATAGTTTAAAATTTGCCAAACATAGTTAAGTATCATTTTGATAGTGAACTGCTCCAAACAGATGTACATATGTTTGTACACAGAGTAGATTGTTGCAGTGTCTCCACAAATATTGAAAAAATGTCATTCGCTGATTAATGATTGATATTAGCAACATGAGCTTCCCAGGTGGTGCTCGTGGTAAAGAACCCACCTGGCCAGTGCAGAAGAACTAAGAGGTGTGGGCTTGATCCCTAGGTTGGGAAGATCCCCTGGAGGAGGGCATGGCAACCCACTCCAGTTTCTTGCCTGGAGAATCCCATGGACTGAGCCTCGTGGTCTACAGTCCGTAGGTTGGACAAAGAGCTGGACATAACTGAAGCGACTTGGCACGCATGCATATGCTAAAATCTTCTTTTTCTTTCCTGTGAATTTTCTGTTTATGTCTTTTGCCCTTTTCTCTGTTTGTCTTTATATTAAGGAGCTTAACCCTTTGTGTGTCATGCACTGCAAGTATTTCTACTAGTCAGTTGTCCTTATTTTTACTTTGTTTATGACTTTTTTCCCCCAACTGAAAAAATTTTATTAAATGTGGTCAGATTTAGAGGGATTTGTTGTTGTTGTTTAGTCACTAAGTCATGCCTGACTTTTGGCGACCCGCATGGACTGTAGCCCACCAGGCTCCTCTGTCCATGGGATTTCCCAGGCAAGAGTACTGGAGTGGGGTGCTGCTTCCTTCTCCAGGGGTTCTTCCTGACCCAGGGATCAAACCCAGGTCTCCTGCATTGGCAGGCGGATTCTTTACCATTGAGTCACCTGGGAAGCCCCTTAAAAATTATATCACATGCAAATAATTTCCAACATTTGTACCTGCTATTTCTTTATCTTATCTAATTGTACTAGTATTGCCAAACGGTGGTATTGCCAAAATGGTATTAAATAATAAAAGCAATAGTGCATATCCTTTTCTTAAAACATGTGTAATTGCCCTTTTTGTAGATGAAAAAAAGTCAAATATTGGCAATTTCATATTGTTCAATTTAGTAGTATCTCTCCACAAAGCATGACAACTTCTGAAAAGACCCACATGCAGGATGTTAGAGAAGATTCAACAAAGATTTATGGAACACCTACAATGTGTCAGATATTGTACTAAGTTATCGTTTATGGAGCTTATATTCTGGTAGACAGAGACAGACAATAAATAAATCCATAAATGTTAGATGGTAGCATGTGCAATGAAGAAAAATAAAATAGAGATAAAGGGACATAGAGTAATCAGGGAGAGAGAGGGGCACTATTTTCAGATACGATGATCAGGATAGAACCTCTGCTAAAGCGGTCTTGGGCTTGAGTGGAACGAGAGAATGAGCCAGGCAGGTATCCAAGGGAAGAGCATCCTAGGCAAAGAAAACACTGTGCGGAGACGAGGGGCATGTTGCTCTGAAATAGATGCTGAGTTTTATTGAATTCCTTTGTCGTGTCTCCAAGAATTTCTACTTTCTGTGTTTTTGTTCTGGGGGGAGGTTTTTTTTGCCACACTGTGTGGTTTGTGGGATCTTAGTTCCCCAACCAGGGGACCAGAGATGAAACCCATGACCTCTGCAGTGGAAGCTCAGAGCCCTAACCACAGGACTCCCAGGGACTTCCCTGTGTACTTCTACTTCGATCAATGAATATGATTAATCATACTACAAAATTCCTGATAGCGAATCATCCTAGCATCTGTGATACGACCCTCACATGCTTGTGGTTTGTTCTTTGTCAGGTGTTAGGCTGCCTTCATAAAAACCTCATGTGCTTTCCTTTTCTGTATATACTCTTGAACTGCCTTGTGTACCATTAAATCTTTTTGTAAAAATCGGATAGATGGTGAAACTGTTGAAGTCAGGTGCTTTTGTGGAGGAGAGGGTGAGTAGTAATTCCTTAATCTTTCTCTTGCTTGTCTATCCCCTCATGGGAAGTAGACTGTTTAGATTTTCTGACTTTTCTGAGTCTGCTTGGTAATTAATATTTTTTTGGAAAAAAAATTTGTCCACATTTTCAACTTTCTTTAAATAGAGTTAATTGAAGCAGAAATTGGTTTTGTTCATTGATTACTCTTACCTAATGGCATTTTCCTGCATCATAGGCGGTTTACTGTTATTTATGATTGAATAATATGCTAGTCATAGCAGTTCTGCAAAATGGGTTGAATAGATACTGTCATATCCTTACCTTACATGTGAGAAGACTGACAATTTACAATTAAAACTAGAATTAGACTTTGTTTTTCTTAATGCCTTGTAAGGTTTCCTTTGTAGCTCAGTTGGTAGAGAATCTGCCTGCAATGCGGGAGACCTGGGTTTGATCCCTGGGTTGGGAAGATCGCCTGGAGAAGGGAAAGGCTTCCCACTCCAGTATTCTGGCCTGGAGAGTTCCATGGACATGTATAGTCCATGGGGTCGCAAAGAGTCGGACACCACTGAGTG